TTCAGCTCATATTACCCCCATTATTAATAATATGCCTTTACGTTTGGAGCATATACCATCGAAAATATAAGATAATTACACTTAAAAATACTTAAAATTTTGGCCGTATACTCTAATATATATAATGGGGATATCATATATCACTAAATCTACTGCACATAGCCTTCTATTATGATATACAACTACAGGAGTTCAAAAGTTTCCGTATCCTCAAACCGGAAATTGTAAAATTAAACATTGAATAATGACATTCAGATGGAACAATGTGAATATATTTCACAAACAACCTTTTAACGCTTAGTGCTTTTACATGAAGTCTAATTATCCGTTATAAATTTTAGGATTATAAGAAACTGAAATGAATTTTTAAATACTAGGAATAGCAACAAATTCGAACGTGTAAAATTATAGTAGAATTATTCGTCAACTTCGTTAAGATGGTTTTCGAAAAGCCCCACAAAGTTATATAGAAGACACCCCAGCTTTATACAGCTTTAGCTATAAACTCCTTCTACTCGCACCATTGTGAACTAACCACCCTCGCTTTTTACTATAAATCTGTCGTTCGATATGAATGCTCTAAAGAAAACAACCTCATTCGAAGACTTCAACCACCAGTAAACTTACACTTATATCAAGTATGGGAAATTCTGCATCCATAAAAATAATCCTCAAAATAAACCCCCTCCCTGTCCATCCGACTTTTGTGCATAAAAAACAATTAATTTCTTAAAAGTTTCGTTTGCATGTCTATGGAAGCATTTCGTCGAAGCTTTAAGCACTTTTAAACAAAGCCAAAACGTTTGCTAGGGTTGGCGGAAAAGTGAAATATTTATGGTAAAATGGATTTATTTTAGTTTTATTTATTTATATTTCTCTTCGAAACATACACTGAGCGTCAATTGAAAGTATAAATATATTACTTACTGGCAACTTTACATCATTAATTGACTTCCTACATTTTCGCTTAACGTTAGATGCTTAAAAGCATGTTTCTATTAGTACAATGCAATACAAAGGAAATTGCGAACTTTGGTTTGAAAAACTACGTCGCAAAAAAACGACCTATTGTATGATTAGAAAGATGAATATTGATCGGGCTTGTGCTAAGCAAAACAACATTTCGTAAGTAGTTTCTAAATTCCGTGCAAGTCATATGAGCACCGCGGACATTATGGAATAGATTAGAAAAAAATTGAGGTGTGTACCTCGCCCTAAAATCTATTCTGCCTTCCCCTCTGTCACAACGACTCACATAAGTCCAGCACACTGATAATATCTAATAGCTGGGTGCTATTGAGGCGATGTGATCCCTATTGGAATACATAGATCCAAGGCCTTGATCCTGCATCTACAGACTAGAGTGCAGTCTATCATCAGGAGCTCGGGAGTTTCCGACTTCATGTCGGAGCACAAGAGGCTTGACCCATATTAAAAAGGCGTTACATGAGCTTGCAATGTCTAGTGTAAAATGCGACAACAAGCCGGATTTTGTCTCTCGGGAAGTGTATTACACCTTTAAACTTATTAAGTTTTTAACCACCCATTAGCAACTTTGTCTGGCGGATGCCTGTGAGTTGCTGCCAATATTTTTTTCTTTCTCTCTCTCCTATTTACGGAGCAGCATGTTTATGGTACAAGGACCAACTGCAATGCAGGATTCCGGTCCGACCACTCTTGTAGCAGCTGCAGAGCTGGAAAACTCGTCAGCCAGTTCATTCTCTGCTATACCCTTGTGATCTGACACCCAGATGAGATGCACTTGGTTGCGACCTGATCGGCTAATGCCACCGCTCCTTATGTAGAATCGATTTTACGATCATGGTCGTACCTGATAATATTTGGCATGCAGCCCCGAAATTTCCCAGTCAGACCGCCAACGTTGTAGCTAACATTTAAAAAACAGCATAAGTTAATATCAAACGGTCAACGAAAATTTTATGAAAAATAACAAAAATCGTCAATCAGAGTATCGGAATTTATTACGTCAGGTATATACGGTTTGAGCCAAGGTCCAATTCAATTCATTCATTAAGCGCTAAAACACATAATTTTTAAGAAATCTTGTCCTAAACTTTTTAATGACAGGAAAATCACTATATAAGGTATATTGGGGGCAGAAAAGGTCTGGACTGATTGCACAAACTTTTGACATTACTCAGGTATAGTTGAGATTATATTTTCAAGCAATTTTATAAATATATAACTCATCATACACTAAACGACATATTCGACATAAGGTTTGTTAGAACATCAAAAATCACTATTTGTTGAATGTATATATGGGAATTAGGGTAATGCGTATACTAAAAACACATATTTTCGGCATTAAACCATAGTATATCCAATATTAATCAGTTATTTTTGCTAAGATATCTGACATATTCGTCCAACATAAATTGAATAAAGCCAACCGAAATTTAGAAAATCTTATAGTAGGTATATGGGGGATAGGGGTATTGATGACCCGATTTTATCTATTTTTGGCATTACTACATATTATTAACAGAAAGATATGCTCTCTAAGTTTCATAATGGTACCTCACATACCATAACCAACATACAATGTGTAAAGTCAACGACATGGTCTAAGGCAAGTTTTCTCCTGATTTAATCCATCTATTTTATTAAGATAACTCACATATTTTTCGAAAATATTTATATAAAGTTGTCAAATATCAGCGCTTTTTTGTCTTTTGAATTTCGCGGCTATGTACAAAGCGCTACAGAGCTCGTATCTGGCAACACTATACATAATTTGAAAGGTCTTGACATAACCTACAAAACAACGCTATGCATGATTAGTTTGGATATTGCGTTCAACAGTTATAGACGTGAACATGGAGTTCACTAACGCCGAAATTCGCGCTATTTTAAAGTTTTCCTTCGTTAAAGGCAAATCCGCTAGAGAAACGTTCCGTGACATTAATGGTGTTTTGGGGGATGGTACTCTATCACTTCGAACCGCGGAGGAATGGTTTCGACGATTCAGAGCCGGTGAAAACGACACCATGGATAAGCCAGCCGGCGGAAGACCTGTGACGACAAATACCGATCAAATCATGGAATACATCGAGTTAGACCCGCATATGGCATCTCGTGACATCGCCCATCAGATGGGAGTTAGTCACCAAACCATTTTGAACCATCTGCAGAAGGCTGGATACAAAAAAAGATTGATGTTTGGGTGCCGCATAATTTGACGCAAAAAAACCTTCTGGACCGAATCAACGCCTGCGATATGCTGCTGAAACGGAACGAACTCGTTCCATTCTTGAAGCGGATGGTGACTGGCGACGAAAAATGGATCACATACGACAATATCAAGCGAAAACGGTCGTGATCGAAGGCCGGTGAATCGTCCCAAGCAGTGGCCAAGCCGGGATTGACGGCCAGGAAGGTTTTGCTGTGTGTTTGGTGGGATTGGGAGGGAATCATCCACTATGAGCTGCTCCCATATGGCCAGACGCTTAATTCTACCATCTACTGCGAACAACTGGACCGCTTGAAGCAGGCGATCGACCAGAAGCGTCCAGAATTGGCCAACAGGAAGGGTGTAGTGTTCCACCAGGACAACGCCAGACCACACACTTCGTTGATGACTCGTCAGAAGCTACGGGAGCTCGGATGGGAGGTTTTATCGCATCCACCATATAGCCCGGACGTAGCGCCAAGTGATTACCACCTGTTCCTGTCCATGGCGAATGCCCTTGGTGGTGTGAAGTTGAACTCAAAAGAGGCTTGTGAAAAGTGGCTGTCCGAATTCTTCGCAAATAAGGAGGGGGGCTTCTACGAGGAAGGTATTTGAAGTTGCCGTCTAGATGGAAACAGATCATCGAACAAAACGGCGCATATTTTAACTAAATCCGATCACTGTAACACTTTTTATAAAGCATTGAATGAAGAGCAAAAAAGCGGGAGATATTTGACAACCTTATATAATCATATGTATATATATTAGATATATATATATATATTAGATATATGGGGGTAAGAGAAGTATTGATACGATTCAACTTTTTTTTTCATATACAGGCATACTATTATTAAAGAAGGACAGATTTAGTGATTTTTTCGATCAAAACATTCGCACCAGGAACTGGGCTTCACATATTTGGTATCTGGAAAATTGAAAGATTTTGGCTCGATTTGTACAACTTTTAGACATAAGGTGGCACACCTCAAAGGTAAACTTCTCTTCGAGTAAAGTTTTATTGAGATACATTGATTACTTCTTAATTTGTATACTGAGAAACGAAAGATTCAGATGAAATTAAAATTTGTGTTTTATGCTAAGAAGGCGTGGTGAGCAGTGTCACGCTCATTGCCCAAATTTGATACCGGTTCTTAAAAAGCCCTCTTGTACGTCTCGGGTGCAAGTTTTTATGTCTCTGGCCATTTATTTATAGATTTATCGCACTTTAAGTATTTTTTAACAAGCCCGGTATTTGTGGAATTTAATTATAATAATCTGGATTTACCCAGCGAATGCCCGGAGCGAATATGTTTATCATAGCTTAAATGGTGTCGAAGATTTATACATTAAACTTATTAGATGACGAGGCCACGCCCACTTTTTAAAATTTTGTAAACCATAGATGCCCCTCCCTAATACAATTCATGATACCAAATAATAGCCTTTTGTCTTGTTGTGGAGCTTAGCTATGGCATTTTACAGGTTCTCGCGTTTTGTGGGCGTTGCAACGGTCCGATTCCGTTCATCTGCAATGCCAACCCTCCTGCGAAGGAACATGTGTACCAGATCTTAATTTTTACTCAAGTTACAGCATGCACGGACGGACGGACAGACAGTCAATTGGATTTGAAAATTTGAGTATGCGAAAAAGAAGTACCGCATGAGCCCACAGTCGATCAATTCACGATGTTACAACTAAATGAAATTGATTATTTGAATTGTGCTCCGCCTTCGGCTCTCAACGTACTATCCGCCCTTCTTTGGTCATTTTTCAGCCCGCCACTCCCACATGAAATCAATAACATTTTTACCTTTTGAAATTTCACTTTATTCATATTTCTATTAACTTACAATGTATTTTCCCGCATATTCATATTACAATTACCACCGATCGATAAACAAAATTCATAGCTTTTGCTTATCAAAAAAGTCACAAAACATTTCACATTTTCATTTCGTGTTACGACTTACAAATTTAAACAAAATCACAATAACATACGAGTACGTACAACAAATATACATATTTCACGAACAATGATAACAGTTGCCATTTTTTTTCCTTTTTTTTTGCTTTTGCTATAAATGAAACTATATAGTATTCATATTTTTTTTTTTGACTTTTGATTTTAGCGATACTTTACATTAGCAGGCAAGAACTATAGAGCTGCTAAAAGATTACTCGGTTTAGATTCCTTTTGAAAAATAGGGGTGAATATTAAAAAAATATATATAAGAAGATAAGAAGAAAAGGAGAAAGATAAATTAACTAAAAAGCTCAATTTACATAAAATTTGGGTTAAGAAGAGTCTAAATTTCATATACGGCTAACAGTGGGTGTCGAAATCGCAACACTATTGCTAAAAAGGTATTAAAGAAAGTTAAAAATTGTATAACTCACAATCATTAAGTATTGTGCATGGTTTTATCCTAAGTAATGACGAAGGATATGTAGTGAAGAAGTTTCCGTTACTTGACCTTTTATATTATTATCTCTACACAGACACCGGTTATAGTCTATCAGTTAAATCCAGCCAAAACTCATGCTTTTTTTGTGAAATTTGTTACCAAGTCCAAAGCCGCTTTTTGTTTTGACATCGATTCAAGATCAAAAATAACCATAACCTAAATTTTCCTAAGAAAATGTCAACTGCTCGCAGTAGTAAATACTCTTAAAGAACTGTAAGTCATTACTTAAAATCAGAATCAATAAGATTCACTTAAAACTAGTGAAGCATTACTTAGCCTCATTATTAATATGTAGCATCGAGCAACTTTATTATAAGCCTTCTTGGTCAAAACGGAATTGTAGAAAACTATAAATCTGAAAATCTTGCAAGGAAGCTTAAAGAATACTAGCATATTATTGAAACACCTTGAACCTCATACCTTTAGTTATATATGCCTTATAAGTCCTAATAAGTCGCCTGCACCCATAATAAGTCACCTTAAAAGTTTTGGAATAGGTTTTTATCGTTATATGATTGGTTTGTTTGAATATAACAGTTTTCTAATTTCACAAAGGACGGGTCTTATACTATTAAAGTGTTATCGTTATCTTTGTTGGGATGATAACTCTCAATACCTAAGCTCTCCTAACATGTAGCATATTTGAAATTTGTAGACTTGACAATGTTCTACTTGATGGACTTTACTTTTCTTACCCTCGTTACTTTTAAAGTTAACGGAACTAGTGTACTCTTTTTATAGTGATATTTGAAAACTTTCTCAGTGCTGAGTACTAAAATTCACATTCACTAAATATTTACTTATATAGTTTTTGTAAGTATTGCATAATTTGGAAACCCACTGCAGTAAATGTATACATTTAATAAACAACAAAAACTCCTTTAACAATATTAATAATAAGGCACAAAAAGGAAATTGTAAGCAACGAATATCGCAAATTTTAAAAATTCAAATTTTAAATAATTAGTATAGTTACCATTACAGAGTTTTCGGCAAATCCGATTGCTTTATCATAAATTTTTTTTTTTTTTAATTTAATTTAAATATTATTTAAATTTCCCTTTTATTTTTAATTCTTACGTATGTAATTATGTATGCACATATTAAAAATATATCTCATGTAATTTTCGGAATTTATGGTGGAAAAACATGGTAACATGCCTAAAAGTATTCGTCACACTGTCTTCTAATATATTATATGTACTTACTGTAAGTATCAACTTCACTTGAAGTTTCTGAATTATACGCGTTTTTAACTGTTTTCTTTATTGTTTTTAATTTCTAGCGCACATCCACTAAACTGCACGCGATTTACTGTTTTCATTCTAATATAATATAATACTTCAATTTTAATATTGTATTTTCATTTTTAACTGAGTATAAGTTAGGGTGATATTTACGAGTATATAAAACCAAACAAGGAAGTCTTGAAATACTGGTGCACCTAGTAGAGCTAAAAATTTAGCGCTTAAAAGTAGGCAATGGCTGTAGCTTGTTTTAAACCTTGTAGCCTATCTTTAGGCGCGCATTTACACTCGCGTCCACACGCTTGGCGCTTAAAAGTTGGCCACGCCTACAGCTTGTCATTAATACCTTTAGGCGCTTATTTTTACTCGCATGCGTTTTTTTTTTACTTCAGTTATTTATGGTAGAATCATTAGTATCTAATTATGAATGTTGGTATGTAGGTAATCTAATTATCTGTATGAGTATATTATTATGTACCATATTTGGTATGAGTATGACATGCCATTAGCAGCAAGTACGAGTAAAATGTATTATCTCTTTTTTAAAACCTTTTTTTGCTTATTGTTGTTAACAATTTTGTGTCATGCGCTGATTTCAGTGAAACTAAATGGGTGTATCTCTGCATTTTGTTCATGTGACAATTATAGTTTTATATTATAAACACGACCACCGCCATTTCAGTCAAGCACACATAGCGAGGTCTATGTAATAAGAAAGTTCAACACACCCACATATTTTTCGACTTGAATACAAAAACTTAAAGCAGCTATTTACAATACTTCATAAACCACAACAAATCTGTCAAATATTATAGCGGCCTTGCAGATCAAACTCTCCTTCCCGACAAGACTGTCCAAAAACAAGTTTTTAAGCACTGTCAAAACTTTATTTTTCATTAAAACACCTTTCAATCTCGTGGCACACTTATGACCGAGCTCGCTATATCCATTTAAATCTGTTGCATCAGCTCTATTGGCGTTTGTGGATCCGTGGTGCTTATGCTCGTCTCGCCAGTCAAGTCGCCCAGAGCCGCCGTTGAGACAGTGCTCACGACAGCAGAGAATACATTGTCGATGGTGCCCGCTACCGAACTTAAGATCGCCGCCGCAGTAGAGGTCACCAACGCGGTAGTAGGCGTTATTAATGTGGGCAACAGCGGCGCAACACTTGTGCTGGTTGTGGAGACAGCTGCCGCTGCTGTTGTGGTCGCCAAAGCCGTTGTGCTCGCTTCGGTGGTCGGTAATAATGTGGAAACTGTTGTGGTGAACAACGCCGCCGCAACGGCTGTTGTATTTAATATGGGCGCAGCGGTGCTGGTCGTGCTAGTAGTGCTAATAAGCTGCGCATGTGCACCCGTTGGATCTAACATTGAGGCCGGCGCATACGGGTAAGTCGGACATGGATTGGTGAGCTGTGCACCCAGCATGGATTCAAAAACATAACCAATAAGTGAACCAGTCGTTAAACCGACATTATACGATAGTGTCATCATGTTGCCGGTCACCTCTTTCAGTGTGCCGGGTACCTTGGCTGGCGCTAGCATCATTGGAAGACTGCCAGCGAGACCGTTACTAACGCCCAAACCAATTGTAAAAATAAAGGCCGCTGTCTCACCAGAAATGACAGGTTGATGACGCGGCGCACAACACAACAACAATAGCGGCACCAATACGATGCGTAAACCAGACATTAATATTAACTGACGCCTTGACCATGGATATGGCAGGGCAGCGAGTAGTTTGCCAATCACATCCGCCGTGTTGAAAGTAAACATAAGCAACACTGGCAGCCATGTGCCGAGACTGCATGAAATAATCTCCGATTCGATGCCAGGATATAGCGAGAGTGTGACGCAGTAGGCCAGCGCGATGCACACCATATACGGATAGATCGCTTGTGCGACGGTCCAACGTGACACAAAGCCATTCTTCAGATCGCTCAGCTTGCCAGGTGTACAAGTACCTGGCGTAAGTACATGCTCCACCTTGAAAGCCACTGTGGTCGGCGTGGTCGGCTCTTGCGGTGTGCTTGGCATGTCGGGTAAACTATTGAGTCCCTCGATTACACTTTCACCAGCTGTTGGATTGGAAAGCTCATACACGGGATTGCTGAAACTCAGCGCACCTGTCGTGCTATTTGTCGCATTTGCTGGCGGTGAAGTGGGCTCCAGCGTTAATACACCGTACTTGGCGATGGGCGTGTCACCGTCGAGGTCATTTTGCTGTAAGAGTGAATAATAGAAGAATTGAGTGTTTAGTTGTTGTTTAGGTTAATTAAATATAATACAAAATACCCACCAATCGATCTTCATCAGGTCGAAGCACAATCTTTGCACACGCCTTCATGTGATACCGTACGAACGGTGAATTAATAGTGAATAAATGCATTGCATAACTGAGTAGCACATACAGTGTCGAAGTGAGAAAGAAGATCACCGTTGATAGCCGATCATTTTGTATTAACATCTTTGTGACCACACGATTGGAAGATACCAAAAACCCGGCAATACTCTCTCCAGCCATTACCGCTTGGGTATACTGTTTCGGCAACATACTGGCAAACCCGTAGAAGCTAGATTGTTGGACTATGGAGAAAAGAAAGGAAAAAAACTTGAAATATATTTTCGAAGTACAAATTTTAAAAGCAGAATTGTAAAACTAATTAATATTATTGCAAGGTATGAGTTGCAAAACTCTGGAATCATCATTTCAGAGTTCATTCAAGTTGCATGATTTAAAACCATAGCTAAAATAATTGTAAATAATAACCTCATAATTAACCTTACAATCACCTATCGAGATTCTCCTAATGAAGATTCTCTTAAAATTATGTTCTTTGCTATCATCTTCTCTATTAGAAAATAATAGAATCTGACACCTCCTTACTCAGAAACTCTCTGGGTGGCTTAGCACCTGTATTCTTTCCTCTCTTCGGCCAATTATTATTGCAGTTGTTTCTTTATCAAATTTTTGAAATATTGCTGAGTTGACAGTGCTTGACAGCGACCTTCGTGGATAGGCACGTAAGCTGTAAGTTTCAAAATCACTTTTATGTTTTCTTTCAAACAAAAATCAGTTTTGAACCTCGCTGTAGCTTATATAGTAAACGGTGTCTTGAAGTTCTTTACTTAGTATCACCTTCATTTTCTTTACTTCTTTGTTTTCTATGTTTTATGCTCTTTCTCATATGAGTAACCTTGTATTAGCATAGGACTAACCTAATCTATCTATATTGTTTTGAATAAAATATTTTCCAAAAAACTAAGTTAATTTAGGATCTGAACCACCTTGCCAATATATTATAAATAATTTCAAATATTTAATTCTTCCAAAAGCGTTGGCGATGTTCAAACTACTGTTTTCAGTCTTTGAGAAAAAATATTTCTATTAGATCTTTCGAGATTCTGATCGCTCTGGGATTATTATCAGCAAAACTTATATTACCTCAAGCTCATTAGTTTTGGAAAATTTAATTATTCAGATATATCGATATCTTTTATTTTCTATGAGCCCACAAGTGGCATAATCATTTTCAATTTTGGTTATCATTGATTAAATACAAAAATAAAAAGTAAATAATTCCAGAATTTTGAATAATTTATAACATTAATATTCTTTTTTAACTTGAACTCCGTTCGCTCCACCTACCTGTACAGCCGATAGCCACCAATGACACAGCAGCCAAGTTCACTGAGTACGCCGTATTGGCGGCGAACATATGAAATGCCACCTCGCAGACGGCCACAAAGATGAGTGTGGTGAAGGACACAACGTAACCGAAAAGAATACGCACACGAAATGGCGCCAGCGATAGAAAAACGTTATTGAGTAGAACAGTAGCAAAGGCGACAATTATATACGTCATGGACATGTCCAATGCCACGGAACGACCGGGGAAGCGTGCCTGCCAGTAATCGGCGGCGATGATGAAACTGCAATAAAAGTATTAAAGGAAATTAGACATGACTTGGAGTTGGAGAATAGACAAAAATAACATTTTCATAAGGTTACACTCATACATGAATAATATTATATATATTTATAAGATTACATTACAGTAAAAAATTTATACATTTTTATGGTTGTCGAATTGCGTGTTTTGGTACGAATAATTTTAGTACCGACAAGTGGGTGAAAATCAAGGCTCGTTATATCTACATATTGTATATACAAACATGTGTGCCTCAATAATTACCTCTCAACGACTTTGTGCGTTGAAATGAAGAGTATACGAGTATATACTATGTTTATAAGTATTTAATAGTAATGACATTATTGATACAGATTCAGCGCAGCAAAACTGCACATTGCGGGTAATGTACAGGTTGGTTTCTATTTTCACAAAGAAATAGCACTGCTAGCTGCAATTTTGTTTTTTTTGTGCTCAAGTTGGTACATCTGTCATGCGAACACATTCAAAGTTACAAGTCAGCTAATTCTTTGTTTACAAGCCATTTGAAGTTAATGTGTCTGAGTATTTTTTTAATATGGAAAAAATTTAATATCACGCAGTGATTAGATTCTTTGTTTTGAAAGGTTAAAAGCAAAGGAAATTTATGAACAATTGTTAGAAGTGTATAAGGAGTCCTCACCTTCAAAACGCACCGTTGAATTTTGATCCACGCGAAGGACGACCAAAAACCGCAACCACACCAGAAATCACTGAGCAAGTTCATAATATTGTTAGTGAAGATCCAATTTGACTAAGCGTGAAATTGCTAATGCCATAGGCATCTCAGACGAACGATGACTTCATATTTTACTTGGAGAATTGCATATGAAAAAGCTGTTTGGAAAGTTAGTGCCGCTCATGTTAACAATTCAACAAAAACTGGATCGAAAATAAATTTCTCAGCATAATTTGGAGCGTTTTAAGCAGAATAAAACCTATTTAATGCATCGTTTTATAACAATGGATGAGACTTGGATCTTCCACCATGATCCTAAATTAAAACAAGAACATTTACAGTGGACTGAAGCTGATTGTTTAGCTCTAAAGCAGGTGAAGTCACAACGATCAGCAAAGAAGGTTATGGCATTAGTTTTTTGGGATGCAAACGAAATTTTGTTGATTGATTGTCTGCAGAAAGGTAAAACAATCAACTCTGAATATTATTGCAGCCTTTTAAATCAGCTGGATAAAAACATTAGTGAGAAAAGACCAGGTTTGCAGCACAAAAAAATCATTTTTCATCAGGACAATGCACCTGCTCACAAAGGTGTTTAAACAATGACAAAATTCAACGAATTAAAGTACGAATTGCTTGAGCATCCATCGTATGCACCAGACCACCAGAAACCTGAAACAATTTCTTCGTGGAAAGCTTTTTTCGTCGAATGAAGAAGCTCTAACAGCCGTAAACAGGCATTTTACAGAGTTTCCGGAAAGTCATTATAGAGATGGAATAAAATTATTGGAGGATCATTGAAATAAGTTTATTGAAGTTAAGGGCGATTATATTGAATAAAAAAAATATATCGTACCAAAAACAGTATTTTTTCCATTCGAGCGCAGAAACTTTTCAACCAACCTGTATTTTCCAAAGAATATTTAATAATCATTAATAGCACAAGCTCGCAGTCAGTTGGTCAATCATGGCGCATGGAATTGTCAGTTACTTAATGAATAGGTGACAATAAAAACTGAGTAATTACGTTAAGATTTAATTGCTGTCAACATAAATACTGTCGGCTACAGAAAGTCTAGACAACACATATACGCCCCTCTCTTTAGTACATATCCTTACTTTATATGAGGCCAGGTTTATAGTGAAGGATTGTAGACTAATTAATTTGATTTCATATTACAAATTAAGATCCACTGTAGCACCAAAGTTAAAGACAGCTAAAGTTAGATCGAAGTCGAAGTCGAGTTCAATCATCATATGATTGTGAAAACATGGTGGACAATTTGGTTTACGTTATCAGAACGAACGCGGAATTTTGTCGAGCCAAGAGCTGTAAGCAGTTTATTTTAGGCTATACTCGCCGGCTGTCACGGCATACATATTCCTACTGGTTCTTAGTAATGACAGATGTACGTTCAAATTAATTCGAGCACCCGTGTTCGTCATACGGACGTCAACTCATTTTGCAAACTATAGGAGAAACTCAATATCTAATTTTTATACTTCATCCAGGCTCTTGAACAAGACTGAACAAAAGAAGGTGATCCAACTTCTCTCGCTTGCCTACTTCCCTGCACTTTCTGCAAGTGTCGTCGTTACTAAAGCCCATCCGGCTCACATTTAATGCCATTAAGTTGTGACCTGTCAGTAGACCCACAACCGTCCTGCAGTCTTTACGAGGCCGTGCTCAATGCATTTCATTTGATATGATGATACGTCTGTCATGCCTTTCGGATTTTTCATTATGTATCGTTTTTAGCGACTTGCGTATTTCCTGTACTGGTTCGGCAGCAAGATGGATGGCACTTTTGGCAATATCATCATCTATTTCATTTCCCCGAATGCCCTTGTGGCTTGGAACGCTGTATAAATGCAGCGGCTTTCTAACAGCTACTACATTATCTTATTACTGTAAGGTACTGCTAACGGATTCACTTGAACTTATTCGGGGTATATTTTTTTCCGTTACACCAACATTTTGTCCCGCTAATTATTCTTTTCTTAAGTCGACAAGATCTTGGGCAGATATATTTATATATTCAGCTCATAAATAAAGCTGAAGTTCAAAGTCAATATAAAGTAAGGTACTCTCTCGTTTTTCGTATATCGCGCATCAAGAAAAAGTTAATGCATAATATTTTAGTGGATTGTCCCAGAAGTTCAGGAATTATGTATTGCATCTCGATTAACGATCTAATAATGGAAGTTAAGATAAGAAACTGATATTCTATTTTCTCACAAATACAGATCGTTCTGTCAGCAATCCGAACGCTTTATTCGACTCAGTATAATATCCAAATATTATAAATCTATTAATATGGCGTTACAAATTAGATTTTGTACTGAAAAAAACGTTTCAGAGAGTTTTGTGATTGTTTAACTGAGTTTTGTTTGAGTAACGGTCAAAGGTGGGTTGGTGTTTTCTAGGAGAATCGATTCCATTTGTTGTGTAGTCAGCCCTAACATTAAACAACTAGATAAAAAGGAATTTGTGTTTCATAATAAAACACAATTTTTTATGAAAAATGCTACTAATGACCTATTAAGTGTTATTCGGGCTGCGCAATGGTGGAAGCCACATATGGTATATGCCTTATGAAGACCGCAAGCGATTGACTCAATGGACGTACTAAAGAGGCAGTTCAGAATAAGAAGCCTCAAAAAACCACAAAATAAAAACCTGTTAGTCTGCGCTCAGACTTCAAGAGAATACACGCTGAAGCGAAAGTTAGCGAGAGCGAAGAGGTAGGTAACTGACGAGACTGGGGCTGATTTTCAAACTAAAGGCCAACTGTAATATAAATATTATATCCATTAAATTATATTCCAGAGAAGTTCGCTTTAATCGGTGTACCAACTACAATATATTAAAAACTGTGCTCTAGTTTTATTAAAATAAAATGTTTCCTTTTTTAAAACAGTTCGAAGATTTTAAAACATCTGGCATAATAGAGAGCAGTTAGAATAGCATAAACTGCATTTAAGGAAATGGGTTGAAGACTATTCCACTAGTTGTGATTTCGAAATAATTAAACATTATTATTAAAAATATGTTTATACTTTTATATTGTAATATATTCCACATATGGGAAGGTTAAATTCAATATGATAAACAATTTTCTTGAGTTGGCTGAAGAAGGTATATAACAATTCAACTTTATTACTCATACATTACGTATTAACATACGCGTGCATACATTATTTAATCCATGAAAAAATCTTTATTCATTATCCAACTTACCTGTTATAGGGCAGCACAAAGCCTATACCAGCGGCCAACAATGCTACATACACTGAATGTTTGTGATCTTTGGGTGAACGTACGTCCGCCTCTGGACTGTCCATCGGCTCGTGGCGTATGCCGGCGCCGCGACCTTCTAACGGTTCATAAGTTGTTGCCTGAGCGGATTCCATTTCCGCTATTTAACAATTCTATGCACTTTCAAGGTGGACAAATGTTCTTGATAATGGGTGTTTCGCCCCGAAACAATAATGCGAATAAGTTAGTCTACTTTGCGGCGCCCAAGCAATTTAAGTTGCTTAAGCGAAATGCCAATTTTGTTTAAGTCTAAGTTTAAAATGTTTTTGGTTTAATTTCTCATGACAGCACAACAACAAGTAACGTTTTTTTAATTATTGAAATTGTTAAGTTTTAATATTATGACTAGTACAAATTTATCGAGTATTTCTATATTATATTTTGTTATGGTATATATGGGAAGTAGTGCTATTTTAGGTAACTCATTTCAATTGCAATTTCACACTTTAAAAAAGCTTCCACGTAATCATGACTGTCGCAATTGTTGACAGCTCAAGTAAAAAGCCTGCAACACCTTTCGCGGTTTTAATCGATAAAGGAAAGGCAACGTCGACAACACTTTTGCTACTCAAGCCCTACACACCCCAAAATGCCCAATGCTTTTCGAAGCCGAAATTTTCCGAATTCGCAATACGTATTTTAAGCAATAATTCCGTAACACATTAACTTTTCACATTTTGCACATTGCTTCACAATATTTGCTACAATTTACATATATTTTTCTTCCAACAAAAGTTTCAAAACATTTTTATGTCTGCTTCCAGAGCTTCCAGAGCGTTATACATTTTCCACACTACGCTCCAGAGACAAGCCTAAATTTCTACTTAAAAAACTGTTTTTATTAAATAATTACTAATATTTGTTTAATAATTATTGTTTCCACTAAATTTTATGAAGACTTTCAACCAGTGCCAAGAATTTTGTGTGCTTTCTATGCCGTGTAGTGCGAAAACTTGGCTTGCTTTTTCATTTCCTTAACACGCACTGCGCAAGTCTGTTGAACGTTATTGATTTTTGTTATGCTGTCATTTTCAAACGCTGTAACTGTCAAAGATTGTTGTGGCTTCTATTGCACTTGTCATCTGTTTTGTGGTTGTTTTTGTTTACATCACCATAACTTAGACGAACGGCATCGTTTTTGTTGTTAATCTTCTCGTCATTCCTTATCAGTGGTTTTGTTTACAAACGGTGCTCGTTGGAGTTTAGCGGATTTTCTCCCAGCATGCTGACCTTAAGCTATGTGCACATTGAAATAATTTATGGAAACATTTTCTTAAGAAGTGCAAAAAACAAATTGCAGTAATTTTTGTATGTATAATATTTATAAATGTTTAAGTTAAAAAATGGTTTTGAAGCTTTTGAAACACTTTTTGCAGTAATGTACATCCACTAAATCTGAAAATTTTTGGCTGAATTTCTCTAAAAACAATAAAAAAAAACGTTTACTTCAATTGCACCGCTATAATACCATTCACTAATACAAAATTGTCCTTACAATAACTTGATTTTGATTGTTCAGTTTGACTGGCAGCTGTATGCTTAGGGATCCGATCTAAGCAAGAAACTTTAAATTTTACACACGATATGGTAAAATTGAGCTTTATCGAAACCAATACAAAAATTGTACAATGACAGTGCCTTCAAGATATGCCATCTCAAATTTAAAATTTGTCAAAATTGGACTATAACTGTTCAAGCCCCCATATACCGAAAACGTGGACCCTAATGTCCATGGTTGACTTTTTACCGAAATTAACGTTCAGTGTATGAGATATATGATTGAAATTAGGAGAGTAAATTTTCCTGATAATATTATGTCCGCATGTCAAAAATTAATTGAATCGGGTCTTCTTACTTCTCTTAGCCCCTATATTCCTAATACTTGTAGGAAGATTTTCGAACTTCGGCCTGACTTTATACTGCATATATCGGCCAATATGTGAGATATAGTAATAAAATTGTGGGGCCGTGTTTTTCTAATAACAGCGTATCGCTGTGCCTAAATTAGATAAAATCGAGTGCAAAGTTGCCCGATACTCCAAATAACTAATTTCAAGATTTTCAAACATCCGGTTGATTTTACTTTTTATATATTGACTGAATTAAACTCAGTGAGCATTTTTTCCGTTAGCAATATGTAGTAATGCCAAATATATATGAAATATATATTGCTTGAAAATATATTTTGAAGTATACCGTAATAATGTCTAAGGTTAATGCAACAACTTTTAACCGACTTTAAACCGTTTAGGTAGGTCAAAATTTGTGATATTTGAATGAAATTAAGTGAACAAGTTTTCTTAGAAATTCTAAAATTATATTAATGACTTAGTGCTGAATATGTAAGGATTTAGTGTAAACCTTGATATAAACCTCATATCTCTAATATAATGAACTCCCATCCTCTGCTTGACGCTTTTCACATCCTCTCGATAAAAAATTTAGTCTGTTAAGTTTATATAATATATATATTTCATTTGAGGATATTTTTAATATAATTTTAGGTGACAGGCAGTAAAATATAACAATAAAACTAAATGAGTTTATGACATGAGTTATGTAATTTTATATAATATGAAATTTTATTGCAAACTAAATAATAAATGTTGACTTCTTTAGCTACATTTTTTAGTATTACCAACACACCTGAAGGATATCACAATGAGCCTCCTATAGGCCTATGTGCATCGTCAGACAGCCACCCTACCTACCTAACACCTGAAGGTATTTAGCCGGCTGTGATCCTTGCAAGTTACAAGAGTATAAAATATTCGGTTACAGCCGAACTTAGTTCTTACTTATATATTTGAAAAGTAAGAAAGTCTTAGGTATAACTCGGAATTTTCTCAGAAGAGTTATCACATATAAAGAATATTTGCTTCGTCCTCTAACTTCTTAAATTTAGGAATTTCACATGGGATGAAATTTTGTCAGTAGACTACAACACCGTCGATTAAGTTTGAAAATAAAGTAATATATACTTTTTTCAAACTCCCAGCAGCCGACAATTGCCACAACCATTTTTTCAAAAACGTTGAACAATTGGTTTGATTCCGACTATTTGCCAACCACCTTAGAGTGTCAAGTAAAATTTCATCCATATATCGTAGTTATTACTAAATTGACCCATTTTACCAACAACCAAGTCCACGGACTTACTGAACCGCGAAATAAATTCGTCTCCGAACAACAGACATTGCATAATTCGTTCTTTAATGGAATAAACTGTTAATAATTATAAAGGGGCCCTAATTTTTCAGGAAATCCAAAAGTGAAGAAAAGAAAAATCTTCAAATTTTTCTAAAATTAAATTTAAAGTAGTTTTTGTTATTAATCAAAACTTTGATAAAATATTTAATTTGGGAAATTAAATAGCACATATAATTTTAATTTAGATCAGTTCCTATATTATCCTGGAATTTCTAAAATATAGTTAATATTCAACCGCATCGAATATAAATAATGGATGTTAAGTCGTATTGTATCTGTATTTTTCCACTCACTGATTTTTTCTTCGTGTTGGTCATACAAAATATTAAAAAAATAATCCATATTCGGAGACCTGACAGCAAAAACTCATAACTTAGACAAACTAATTAGTAAACTATGCGCTGTGCAAGCTGATGCGAAAACTTTCAAATATGCATATATATCCGGACTGCCACTAGAAGGTATAGCAAAATCACCTTAAAACCGAAAAAATAGCGTTGAAGAAATATATAAGAACATAATTTATTATAGACAATTTTGGTAGATTGTTATTATAGCAACTATATTTTTTATTTAATAGTATGTAGAGCGCTGTCTTCACATAACAGCAAGAGAAAAATCGGACATTGGTAAGGATGGAATTCCTACCTTTCGATTAAGATTTTTATTAATTGGAGCGATAAGTTAATGGTATTAGAACAAGTAGAGTAAAGAAGAGCAACTATTAAACGAAACTTAAACAATAACTAAATACTACATAAATATATAAAGTTAATATCGAAAATAAACGAAAACTTCAATTCAAGCACGGTTATCGAACATAACAAAACTAAATAAAATTAAAAATTAAAAAAACTTTAAACTCAATAAATGACATCGCTTTAATTCGAAGCCAACGGTATGGCGCTTTTATCGAAAGTAGTTTCCAGCAACGGAATTTGTGTATAAGTCTGTTGAAGAGCGAACTGCTCACGGTCGGTCTGCCGAGGATTCCTGCAACGTATGCAACTGGCAAACAAACGTAACCAGCGTCGTGATATAGACCTGTCACTCGCGCCACCACACTTCTTAAGCGTCGACCTGCGCGCACCTTGCGTATTGTCTACAACTGTTGAAATATCCATTGGGGTACTATTGGGACAATGTGTGATATACAAGCCCGACGGTGAAGGAGTTCGCTGATCACGATCATAATGTAAACTACGAACATTCGGCGCAAACGTCACGTCTTCACTGAGTTCGACCATGTAGCGCTTACGACGTGCTGGTTTCGGTGACGAATACAGCTCAATCACTTCGACATCAATAGCCGAATCGGAGCTGCTCGGCTGGCTTGTGCGCGAATTGTGTTGTGACTTATCGCTGTGGTGTGTCGCAACCCTTTCAACTGCCGTTTGCCGAAACTTAATAGAGTTGCTGCGTTTGCGCAATGTGACTGCAAAGAAAAATACAGGGTTTAGCAAAATATATTTTAGCTAATTTGACGCCACCTACCATTATCTGTGGCCGAACGCAGTTCTGCGCTCTCCGCAACCGTGTAGTTACTGAAATTCAATGACATCGGTTGTATGGCCGCCACGCTTTTTACGTTTCGTTCACACCCCTCTAATGTACCCTCCACACAGTGGTTATTATTGGCATCCGGCGTGTCAGGTGTCACAAATGATTGCAATTCATTATGTGGTAGGCCGACATGTAGCGGTGATGGTGATGGGGGCGGTGGAGGTGGTGGAGAGTGGTACTCGAATTCTGTCTGTGTCGCCTTCGTAGTTTTTGCGGCACAGTAAAGCAAACCCTGCAATGATTGTCGTCCTGTGCCCCAATAAGACATACCACTAGTACTCGGCTGACTGTAACCAAACGAACCACTTGTCATGCCGTTCATTGTATAACGACCACTAACATTTCGCTTCAGCTGATCCTCGGCGGTACTCAGCCGTACACGCAAGAAATCCACATTTTGTCTCAGACGCGTAATTTCGCTCTGCTTCTCATCCAGCTTCAACTGCTGGTAGTCATTGTACGATTGCAAACGATCGCGTTCGTCCAGCAATAGCGCATAAGTAGCTTTATTAACTACACCAACTTTATGAGTGTCGCATAAACGGCTCTCCCCACTCTCGTCCGTCTGACGTCTATGGTTATTCTCTGAGTCATCGTCGTCTTCATCATCGTCAGCAGCGCCGCCACTGCCGCTCTGGGTGGACATAGTCGCCGATGTAAGCGCCGTTAAATTGCTAACGGACAAGTCTGCGCTCGCTTCCTGCTCAGTTTCGTCGTCTTCGTTTTCAACACCATCAATGACGCGCACCAGCGCTTGGCTCAAATTGTCCGCTATATTTGTTACGCCACGCTGCAGCTGTAGCCTCTTCAATGCCTGCGGATCGTGTACCAGTTCCACGGGCATGGAGCGGTGTCTTTGGAAGCGCGACAATTTACGGCGCCGTTCATCCTCGTTACGTATATTTGCGATATATTGTCCGACTTTGCTCTCGACATGCTTGTAGCGCCGCTTCGTGTATTCCGAATGGATTTCCTGGTATGATTGCGATTTACGATCGCCTCCAAGCAGTTGAACGCGCCTTTCACCCGTGTTAGCGAGGCCCGTTTGATCGCTCTTGATCATGCGATTATTATTTTGCATCGCAGCGTTACCTGGTTGCTCTGTAGCAGATTCTGCAGAGGAGATTGTTTGGTCGGCGGATGAGCTGGATATGTTGAGATTGTGCATCATAGTAAGTGGACTTTTGGGGACTTCACCGCTGTACAGTTTTTGTTGTTGTCGTTCACGCAAGCGGTGTGGAAACTGAAATCTATTAAGTGGGGTCGGTGAGAGGTCCACCTCGAAGAGTTCGTCGTGGGGAAAACTTTCATCCTGAATGCTCATTTTAAGAAATTGTTGGTGAAACAAAGTGATGGCTGGTGACAAATAGCTTTAACATATGTTTTTTTTTAATAACAACAACAATGAATAAACGCGTTCAAAATGTATTATACACGATTCAGCACTTTTTATTAACGAGTAAAAACCACAAACATTAAAAGAAGTTCGAAAACGTTGTTTTGAATAAATATCTGATATCCTTTAGAAAATATTTGAAAACGCGATTAATAAAACATTAAAACGAAAAAAAAAACAGTAACGCGTAAAGGTATCTCCACGTAATGACGTCCAAGCCGCTGTAAAAACACAATGTTTAGTAAATAACTTTGCTGAATAAATTAACGGCATCAGGGGCATTAACACTTTCAAATACATAAGCTTACATATCTTATATGCATAGGTAAATAGATAAAAAAGTAAGTAGATATGTAAGTGTGTATACTAGGGTGGGTCAAAAAAAAATGTTCTTTTTCGCTTGGTACTCGGAAAGTCTCTGCAAGTATGAGCTCTTAATCGTAACGGGAAGGGCCTCCGCCTTACAGTTTTATACTTTTTTTTCTTATTATCAGATAGAAAAATTCATAACTCGCTTTCAACCATGCACTTAAAAAAATTTTTAATTTTATTAATTTTGTACGAAATTGAATGCTCTTCAAAAAAGATTTATAACGATTTTTTATTAAACCTAACCATTTAAAGGAATTAACGGTTGAGATTTCAATATTTTAAGACAAATTGGTTAATAACTCAATGTTAAAAAAAATCATTTTAAATTGCAAAGCTCATAGACTTGAAGGAAATTTACTGCGCTGCAAATTGCTCATACTTGGAAATACTTTCTGAGAGGTGTCTTTCAACCAATTTTTCAGTGTACCAAACGAAAAAAAGACATTCGATTTTTTTTTGACCCACCCTAATTTATATTAGGATCTGACCCAAAAACTAAAATTTCTTGCCAATTGTTGCGGATTCTTCTTAGAAAGGTCTAGTCGAATATAATCTCCATTATTGCAAAATCATTTTTTTGTTTTAACACTTTACTAACTTACTAGAAGTTTTCTCGAAGTATAATAAAACGTTTATACCTTACATCCATTTTTGGAACTTTTAGATTATTTGTATATACTAAATTAGAAATGTCCCTAACAACTAACGGATCAAATTTTTACGAGGTTCAATGAATTGAAATTATGGTGTAAACAGGGTTAGACATAAAATATGTATCAGAATAAAGGCTGTACTTTAAGGGGTTAAATGGTAATAAAATTATTTATTTAATTCAAACTTTTTTCTGTCTTAAAGATACACATTTAAAGAATAAGTTCTGAGATTTTCAAAAACACAAAATTAAAACTCTGCCATTGTAACGTCATTTCCGGTGACCCCTCGAAAAAAGCTGCGTCCGTGTTGTCGGCATAACTCCTGACAGAATCATTTAAAATGAAAAAAATATGTGTTTTAGTTAATACTATAAACTCGTACTTGAACGAAGGAAAAAAATAAAAAGCTAAAATTGGAATTTTGGCAGACCTTATTAAAAAAAAATTTAAATTTCGGTCAAATTATAAATATTAAATAAATAGTTGTAATTGAAAAAAAAGAATCCTTTGTCCAAACGACAACGACTAAAATGTATATCAAACACCTGTATACATCAAGATCGGTTGAGTAGTTCACGACAAATCTTGACAACCGTCTTTGAAAACACAGTTTCGAGAAAAACGCGTTTAAAGTTTTAAGTGACCATAAAGCTGACCTCGAGCACGCAACTTTTCAAAGCTGTATCTCCAAAATTATTACTGATATCAACTTAAGAATTTGGGACAAAATTGGAGAGATGTTATAGAATTAAATAAGACAATAACAAACCGAGAAAATCATGTAACCCCTTAATAGTTGGCAATACAGCCACAAATTAGACTTCGCTTTATAAGAAAGATTATCTTATTAATCTAATTTAACCCGTATTTTCCAGCAAAGGCGGTATGACCTCGCTTTTAACGAGTAGCCGCTAGTTTATCAACATTGACTACATGAACCCGCATTAAAAGTAGTCTACGGAATCATATCTTTTAAATCAAATCAATTTCAAAAAGTATGAACAAATAATGTATTCGGCTTGCAAACGATACCAGATAATAACTTCTTCTGGCAGCCAGGGAGCCAAGGGTGTCTTTTCAGTATTGCTCGTACTTCAAATTAACCGGTAGTTGCTTATGATGATTGAAGTCTTTCTTCCTATATATTTGCGAACCCAGGTTCGAGTTAGTCGAGTTTTTAAATTGTGTTCTTATATTATTTAGAGACTCAAAGTGAATCTAGTCGATATATGTATGTATGTTCTCATTACTGCTTTGTGATTTAGACCTTTTACACTGGTGCTACTTCAGACTTAATCATACCACCATCACTCGTCCAATGAATGAATTTGACATCCAGTGAATGCAAATACTGCATAAAAAATATAATTTATAGCAGCAAATTCTTCTATATTTTCACTGCTTAGCATAAAATCCAGGAACTAGAGGATTTCATCAATTGAGATTCTGGTTTAGATGGCTTGAAAACTCTTTCTAATAGTAATATTTTTCTTCGAGTCTATCACTTTAGTATATGAAGAAGTACAGACTACAAGTATTAGATGTATCTTTCAATATTTTTGAGTAGTTTACCGGCGAAATATTATCGTCGGGAATTGTGATGTTGATATAAACAAAGAATGTCTTCGCGGATTTCGTGTTAACTTCATTACAGTGGAAAAGCGAGAAGCAGCAAACATTTCATAACTTATATTATGAAAGACTTAGCGCGCTTGAACGGATTTAACAACGACTTCGCTCCAATTAGACCCATCTGTCGTGGGAACAGGGAGCTCGACTACGCTCTCTTACAATGAATAGGTACAAAGTACTTCAGCTTAAGCTTACTTTATTTATTTCAATTATTTTGATTATATAATATATGAATACAATAAGAAAAAAAAACAAATTTGCATACAAGTTTAACGATAACAAAATATATACATTTTTAATAATACAAAAGATTTGAAAGAATTTGGTTTTTAATTTGCTTTAATAGTTAGTTTGACGATTATTTAAACAATTTGTATTTGAATCATTAAATTATCTATTTTTTTTAACAAAATAACAAATTATGCTTTGATAATATTTGGTAAGTGTACTAATTGGATATTGAAGCTACTTTGATAAATATATGTATATGTTTATAAACATGCAGGTATGTATATAGTATTAATAGGTTGAAACATATAAAGAATGCAAATATATATGTACATATATATATATATATATTCATAAGGTATATATGTAAATATTTTACGCGCACATGGAGAGGAATGAATAAAAGATGTGTAAATTTCACACACAATGAACCGAAGCAACACTGCAAGCTAGTTAACCGCATATTGTAACAATTTTTACTACTTAAATCATATTTTCGTCCATGTTTTAGTTGTGACGCAGTTTGTGGAGACGTTCTACAGATAAGACGTTAAGTAAAAAATTGTGTACGAACATAATTTTTATATTGCTGCTGTTATTGTAACAGTTACTGATTCTTCTTATTGGCGCTGTTATAGTTAGGTGGTAGAGCCTAAAAAAAAGAAGAAAAATTAAGTGGAAAATGTTAACAATTTGTAAAATAAAACTAAAATAATAATTAGAACATACATCATATGCTGGTGGCAAGTCGCTCGGTGCAGCATTATTGGAATATTGATTGTAGGTTGAATTTTGGGCGCTAGCCATTGCCTCGGCTTCCTTAGAATCTGTGAAATTGAATTGGATTAGTGTGAAATAAATTCAAAAATATTAATAAATGCGAATTTTCATATGAACAAAGCAAATCAAAATATAAAAAATTTAACAATGCCAATATGCATAAAAATGCTTACATTTAAGAGAACATTTTCAAATATTTCAAAATTTGCAGTATTGAAATTTACTTTCTTCATGTACTAACACACAATACAGACAGAGAAAGAGTATTTACGGGAAAATAACTGGTATTGGTATAAACGCAAAATTTACACAAGGCTGTGGTGTATAGTACGGATAGTAATAATATGTGGTATTACCTGTAGACAATAAAAGTTATAGCGTTTAAGTAAAATATATGCAAGGAATATATGTGTGCACGTTTGCGTGTGAGAAAAAGTGTAGCTTCTCGACTCTTGTGTGTGTGTTTTAAGCAACTTTTAAGGTTTAAAAAATAACATTTTAAAAAAGTCAGAAGTTCAAAAGAGCATATAGTACCTGGTAGGGATTTGATTTTTGGACGTATGGTTTTTTGCGACGTTACATATTTGTAGTATAGGCGTTTGCATACCTGTGCGACACTTTTTTAAAGCACTGCAGGCGAAATTTACAAATTAAAGTAATAAAATAAATACTTTTGAAAGTAGTTCGGCTTTCATACAACAGGTGTTAAAACATGTGTGAGAAATGCACTGGTGTTAGAAATTGAAGAATTTTCGTTTGATACAAAATTTTTATTAATGGTGGGTTATGATGAAAAAATATAATCGAAAAAAATAACTGTAACCGTTATAAAATAGACACATTAGTATTTACTTACTTGCTGGCGGCATGCCAAAGCCCATTGCACCGGCCGCAGCTCCACCTGGTGCACCGCCTGGTGGTGGGTAACCCCCTGGTTGAGGATAGCCACCTGGTTGATAGCCAGGATTGTAACCAGGGTTATATGATGGATTGTAGCCGCCGGGAGCACTCGGAGGATAACCGCCTGGCTGACTGTATCCACCAGCCGCGTTAGGTGGTGGCTGATTTCCAGGTTGTGGTTGTTGTTGCGGCTGCTCGGAAGGTGGTGCGGAGAAGCCATTCCAAGCTGCTGCATCATTGTTTCCATATTGAGGCTGTGGATTCCAAGCACCTTGCGGTTGTTGTGGATTGTAACCAGGTTGTGGCTGTTGTGGGTTATAGCCAGCATTTGGCTGTTGCGGATTATAGCCAGGTTGCGCATATGGTTGTGGTGTATAAGCTGGTGCTAAGTATGCGAAAACGCGCATGGGGTGAGGGGGAACACGAAAGTTAGCATTTGAAAATGTGTTTTAAAGTGCCTTATAGTAACTATTATATACATATATATATATGGCAATAAAGTACCAAAACCACTAACTACACATTTATATAAGCGGCACACTATTGTAACAAAAGCCGAGAAGTCTTACACGATTTTCCCGTTTTACAAATTATGCAAAAATGATTTTCAGATATACTTACGTCCACCAATGCCTGGATATGGTGGTGGATTATCGCTTACGAACACCGTGCCGTTGGCTGGGCCACTGAACGCCTCGTGAGTGGGCAGCCACCCGTAGTAGCCTGGTGGTGGCTGATAGGCCGGTGGTGGTGCCTCATGCCAAGCACCTGCTGGTGTGTATGGTGGTGGATCGTCGTTGGGAGCGCCACCACGATGGTAATTACTTTGAGCTGTGCTAGCAGCACGTAACAAAGCCTGACCGTACTCAATCGCTCCACCAGACTTAAAATGCAGCTTGAACTTAACCTCGCCAATAAAATTTCCGTTTGGTTGCGCACGAACCTTGGCCTTAATATAGTTGGCGCCAAAGACTGGCTGCTCCAATTCGACCTAATTTATACATAAGTTAGTTAAATTAGAATAAATATATCTATACATTTATATAAATAAATATTTTACATCTGAAAGTGCTATAAAAGGTGCACTAAATTCGACCTAATTTATACATAAGTTAGTTAAATTAGAATAAATATATCTATACATTTATATAAATAAATATTTTACATCTGAAAGTGCTATAAAAGGTGCACTAAAAGATTGCAGTTCATCCGCCGGTTTTTTATTGTTGAATATCAGCCGATGTGAAGTCAGATATATTCGTCCTTGCTTTGAGCCCTTAAAGACAGGATTGTCCTGACCGGAGAAATCCATAGTAACGCCATCACTATGCAGTAATATACTAAAAATAAAAGGAGACGTAATTAAAAAATATGTATACATATAAATAGGTAATACTAACTAACTAAAGAATTTGCCTACGTCATATCTTATTTTACAACTTGAAGTTATACATAAAATGCTAATCTGTAAGATATTTTATATTAAGCTAATCGTAATTTATGTGTAAAGGATATTATTTCCACAGTAATTTTATAAATTTATAATAATCCATGCCAATTTCAACAGATTTCATTTGTGCTCGTCGGTCTGCAGAAATACTTTTATATGCAAAATTTTCTACCTAACCTTATTACTTACTACTCTCCGGCGTGAATCAAAACTCCATTACTGGCATGTGCTGTATTTACAGACATTATTGGATAATAACGGAACCAACGATTTCTCTATTTAAGTTTTTAATATAATTATATTTATTAGAATACGGAATTGTGAAATTTTCTCGAACGTCAAAAATTTAATTCCAGATGAATCACTTTTTTGTTTTGATACGTTTTGTTGTTGATTTTTGGTAGTTACGTAGAATCTACCAATAGACGTCGCGAAACACTTATCATATGTTTCTAAAGCCAGTAACACATATGGTATGCCCATGAAGTATGCAGGCATGACAGTTAATATATCGTAAATAATTATCAATTGGCAATAAAATATTTTATTGAAATCTCAAATTTACTAACGTGTATAAAAAATTAGAAACGAATATGTTAACATTAATTTCTTAACGATTCTTCTGCACTTAACACAATATTTTCTTAACGATTAACTTTATAGAGTAAGCAATATGTTATTGCATTAACCCGTTTCTGGTATCAATATTGCCAATACTGTATTAACGTTAAAACTATAAAAAACATTTTTTTTTGCATTTCTTAAATAAGAAAAATTAATTAATAATAAAAAAAACTTTGGACTATTGTTTACGCTCAATTTAGTTATGTTCTCTTGGCAACACTAGTGAATTATTTTTTCACTTCAGAAGTAGAGAATTTCGTAAACAGTGGCTCTTGCAATATACAAATTAAATGATACCTTTCTTGTGTAAAAAGTGAAACCAAATGTTGCAAAAGACACATTGTGACGCGATTCAATTAGACGCTATCAAATTTAATGGATTTCAACTATACTAACTTGGAGAAAATGTGTAAGTGGATTGGCTACGTAACCGGTGAAAAATAATGAAAATCCAGCTCTGCTGAGGTCATCCTAATTTATATTTTTAAGCATAATCATATATTCTTTAATTATCAAACCATTTTGTTCAATATATAACGTTGTTTCTAATAAAATGGTATAATATTTCTGTATTGAAAAAGTTACAAGTTCGTGTCTTCATTTTTTCTTCAATTACTGCCTTCTTTATTTTCGTATTCATATCATTTTGCTTTTATTATTTTCCGTTTCATTCCACTTGTTTCAGCCGCTCTAATAATTGTTTTTATCAGAGAACGTAAAAGCAGGGAACGTAAAAGAAAAGAGAACTTGTAACCAGAGAACTTAAATGAAGTTCTCTGTTGTAACAATCTTGTATTTCTATGCACATACCATATGTAAAAAAAGGACTGAAGCTTATATAAAATTGAGAAGTGTCAATAATTCCGCCAAAATCCGGAAAGTTTTTGCCGGTCTGTGCGGTTTTTCTTTTACTCGTTCGCTGGCTTATTGTTTTAATAAGTGCTTAATTAAAAAATGCCGAGATTTCGAAAGTGTCGCGTTCGCGGCTGTGAAAGTACCAGTGTTGATAAAATTCGTTTATTTCGTTTCCCAAATGAATTGGAGCTGGCTGAAAAGTGGAAAAAGAATCTAAAAATTGCTCCCACTGACCACTTTCCAGCCACCAACTCATTCATTTGTGAAAAACATTTTGAGAAAGAGGCCATTGGCTCAAAAATGTTAAAGAGAAACGCAATACCAACTTTAAATCTGGGTAAGTGCAAATGTTTTTAATTTGATATATTTTATTTTTCAACATCTTGTGGGTGCCCATATAATTATGTGTGTGTGTGTGTGGCTTTGGTTTTGGGTGCCCATATAAGCAGAGAACGTCACAGAACAAAAAGGTGAAAACTCTTGTACAGTGTATCACAAAAATAAGAATGCACTATGTATGTGCGTAAAAAAGGTCATATCAATTGCAAAATAAAAATAAAACTTTTCGTGTTGTTTACAATAACAATTACACATAAATCGCCTTCTTGAGTATGATAAATCGATGTCATTCACATTTCCTGTTATTAAGAACCGTCGGATTTTCTCAGTGAAAACCAAAAATCATGTCACATATGTATGTATGCAGTTCATCATTTCAGTATGTTTTCGGCTGGCACACAGTATTCGCCCCCCTCAAAATCAATAAATAGTTATATTTTGTTTATGATATAAAGATATCCAAGTTTTAATAATATTTCAACCGTAAATTAATTTAAATTTTGATCATGGCGCCGCGCGGAAGAGAACTATCATAAGATTTAAAAGATGTTATAATAAAACTACATAAAGGAAAAAAAGTCAGAGGCAAATTGAAAAAATAACAAACAAAAGTAGTTCGACTATTCTAAAAATAATTAAAAAAGAAATGAAAAAGAGGGAAATACACAAAATAAGGAAAGATCTGGGCGGCCAAAAATATTTGATGCAAACGAGCAGCGTATTATAACACGCATATTTCAGGTGAAGCCAAAGAAGAGTGCACCAAAAGTGAGTAGTGAGTACATACAATGAACAAATATGATTAACATTTTAAAAGCAAATTTGAGAGAAAGTGCGGCTAGATTGGGACTTGAAGGATCATTTGAATTCCAACACGACAGTAATCCAAAACACACCGCTCGCATTGTTAAGGAATGGCTTCTTTACAAAACACCCTAACAATTAAAAACACCAGCCCAATCTCCTGATGTTAACCCTATCGAGCATTTGTGGGATTATTTAGAAAGAGAAATCAGTAGACACCAAATAACCAGTAAAGAATCTTTGAAAGCTGCGTTAATCGAAGAATGGAGCAAGATTCCACCTTCAGTAACCCAAAAGCTGGTGAAGTCCATGACATCCGGGTTGAGTGCAATTAAAAAATCCACAGGCTATCCAACGAAATATTAACCGTGCATTAAAGCTCAAAAATAAACCCGTTAGAACTTTTTTTTCGCAAGTTATTTTTAGTGCATACATACTTTAGTGACGTAATTTTAAGCTATTGGAACTTTTTTTTCTGTAATTTAAAAAATTATTACTTTAAGTTTGGGTTTTTTGTTATTGGAGACATATAAATATATGAAATAATTGAAAATATAAAAAATTGGCTAATAATATTAGTTTTAAGGGATTTTTTCGCATGACAAAACAGATAAACACGCTGCATACTTATTTTTGTGATACACTGTATGTTCTCTAGTTTGTATGTGCGTTTGTGGCTAATCTGAAACATGTAATGTGTGTATGTTTTGTACTTTGCAATGTGGGTGCCCATGTAATGTTGTGCAGAAAACGTAAAAAAACGAGAAGGTTCAAAGTGTTGCATGTTCTCTGGGGTGTGTTCTGTTCTCTGCTTAAGGGTACCATTAGGAGTTTACGCACATTAGGGATGAAAAAACCTACTAATGATATTGTCAGAAGATACGATAGGAATGATTGAATGGTATATAAACGGGGTCCTCTAGTATTAGTATAAATATAAGTAGGGAAGGCCTACGTTCGGCTGTAACCGAACATTTTATATTATAAAGCTATTGCATAGCTTCTATCGCGGGCTTTGAGCGCGACGACCGAATCAAGAAATTGCGTAACGGAAATAAATCTAACACGATCACAAAGTATGCGCAAAATGTTTGCATACTTTTAGGCGTCTTTTCGCATATCTCGAGCGGAACAAATAAATTGAAGTTCAGGGTGATTCAAAAATAATATAATATATAATTGCATTTTTTTTAATGGCAAACAAGAATATGGAATTTAATGAATAAATTATTCAAAATTCGGAGTCATAATATTTGTAAAATATTATCAACTGTTGTATGCAGATGATCTCAAAATTTTCAAACCCGTTGCTTGTATGACTGACATCTTAACTCTACAGCAAGATATTAATACTATTGGTAATTGGTGCCGTGTGAATAAACTTGACCTAAACGTCAACAAATGCGTTGCTATATATTTCACTCGCTCGCACTAACCAATCCATGCAAACTACAAGACCAACGGCCTGGAGATTATTGAGGTTGAAGACGTAAAAGACCTGGGCATCATAGTTGAAAAATAAGCTCACCTTCTCTAAGCATATTATATCAAAGAAACGGTAAAGATTTCAGCAGCCCCTACACCCTGACTAGACTTTTCCAACATTTGGTTCTACCTGTCCTTGAATATGGGTCAGTTATCTGGTCCCCTATCTCAAATGTAATGATAAACAATGTGGAGAAGGTCCAATGCAAATTTTGCAATTCACTGGTCTATAAATTGTCATCATCAAGTCACACCTACTCTACTGATGAGGTCTACCAGTGCTTTAACATCAACAAAGTATCTGCACATCGACAGGTTGCTAATCTCAATTTCTACTACAAAGTTGTTAACAACATCATTGCTCCTCCCGACACTCTCGGCTGTTTTGAATTTGCCTCAGTCGGCCCAACACTCAGACGTTATCGAATACTAAAAACTTCCAACTCAAAGAAAAACTATGTGATCCATGGACCCAAACTAGACTAGCTAAATCTATCGATTCACTTCAGGGTGAGATTTACTTCTACGGAGGCACATACACGGCTTTCATCGATAACACCAAGAATGATTGGGTGCATTCGAGATATCAATCACGACAGCAGTCTAGTCATTTGTCAAAGTATCACGTTCTACGTGAATTTTAGGCAACACTTGCAACAGCATCACGTTCTACTGTCACTTTCTGCACGCTATTTATGCAAATAATCGGCAACACTAAATTGTTCTCTGCACATCAGCAGGGTATCAGCAAATATGCAACACAGTAGCTGTACTGCTGCAATTATTACGTAGCTCGAACGCACCCATTTACTCTTGTAATCTAGGATTTTGATCTATGCAATTCCCCCACAGTAACTGCTACCACAGCGCCCTATATATACATATAGATATTTTTGTATTTTTTCTCAAGTACCATCAACTAACTGTCTATATTTTGTACTGATTTTTTATTATGTATAATACCGATCGGTGTAGTCAATAAATAAATAAACAATGATAAATGAAAATGAAAGAAAACGCGAAATCGAAATATATGTGATAAAATCTTTTGTGATGCCATGCTTAGTAGTAATAACTTTCAATTGAAAGTTATAAAAAACATTTATTAATTAAGAGCTAATACATTTATTCTTTTGATTAAGTATTTGAAGTTCAAAAATCAATTGTTTTATATATTACAAAATCACAAAAAACGGTTTAAATAGTGTCTGCATATGTTTAACGGATACATGTATAATAATATTGAATCTTAATAAATGTTGGGTATTTTATTTTAAATTCCCAAAAATTATTATTTTGTCCGATCTGGCTACAATGGAAAATTTGATAAAAAACGCTTACTTTGAGGCAATCTCATACTGGAATAAGTTGGGCATCCCTTTATCCCTGGTTTCAATGATAAAAATTCTTGAATAACCTACATGTATTGTAAGATGATACAAATATTTTAAACAATATCAACTTATTCATAAAAGAGAAAAATTTGTTTACTTGTCGCTCTCCACGCTCAAAAAATGTTACTTGAATAAATTCAAAATTGAATTGAATTGAAAAAACTTGAATCAAAGAAAAAAAAATACTGCATAAAAAGTAAATAAATAATTATAATTGCTTAAGTTGATAAAAAATGCTTTGCAATAGCTTTACCGCGGCAGTCCCCGAGTGCCACACGTATCTTTTTATACTCTCGCAACCTGTTGCTACAGAGTATAATAGTTTTGTTCACCTAACGGTTGTTTGTATCACCTAAAACTAATCGAGTTAGATATAGGGTTGTATATATAAATGATCAAGATGAAGAGACGAGTTGAAATCCCGGTGACTGTCTGTCCGTCCGTGCAAGCTCTAACTTGAGTAAAAATTGAGATATCTTTATGAAACTTGGTAGACATGTTTCTTGGTACCGTGAGACGGTTGGTATTGCAGATGGGCGTAATCGGACCACTGCCACGCCCATACTAAGCTCCGCAATAAGATACAAGATTGTTATTTGGTACACAGGATCACATTAGGGAGGGGCATCTGCAGTTAAATTTTTTTTAAGTGGGCGTGGTCCCACCTCTAATAGGTTTAATGTGCATATCTCCTAAACCGCTAATGCTATAATAACAAAATTCACTGGAAGCAAATGTTTTTAGCACTTCTATTGACGGTGTGAAAATAGTTGAAATCGGGTGGCAACTCCGCCCACTCCCCATATAACGGTACTGTTAAAAACTACTAAAAGTGCGATAAATCAAGCACTAAACACGCCAGAGACATTAAATTTTATCTCTGGGATGATATGAGATGACTTTATAGGAACCGCGTTCAAAATTAGACAGTAGGCGTGGCACAGCCCACTTTTAGGTGAAAACCCTAATCTTGAGATCTGCTTAACCGATTTCAACCAAATTCGGTACATAACATTCTTCTCATATCTCTATGTTATAGTGCGAAATCGGACTACAACCACGCCTTCACACGATTTTCAATTCCATCTGATTCTTTCACTTTTCAATATGCATATCAAGCAACAATGATTATATCGGGGTAAAATTTTGCGTGAATTATACGTTTAAAGTATGCCACCTTGTGACCAAAAATTGTCTAAACCGAACCAAAACTGTTCAAGCCCCTAAGTACTAAATATGTGGACCCCAGTGCCTATAGTTGACCTTCTTCCGAAAATATCGGTCCATCCACAAAGAAATCTCAAACGAGTATACCATTTGCTTTGCGAGAGTATAAAATGTTCGGTTATATCCGAACTTAGCACTTCCTTACTTGTTTATTACTTATTTTATAATATAAATTGTCATATATATTTTGAAATTAATTAATCTTTTTTAGATGAGGCCCCCACGCAATTATTCCAACCGGCACCTGTGTCTAAAAGTTGCTGCGTGAGTAACTGTGCTAGTTGGGAGAGCAGGAAGCTCTTCCGATTTCCCAAAACGGAAGTTGCTCAAAATAATTAAAAAGACGTTGTGTCAAAGCAGATATTGAATGGAGCTTTTCCGGTTTTGCATATATAAACCGTAGATGACGGAAGTAGTATGTCATCACAATGGGTTTTGCCGCGATCGATAGGAGTTATAAAAATGCACAGTTGCCAATAGAAGATATAACTTTCGAGGAATTCGAAAAGTTTTCACGCCTTCGTGAGATAGGACTGTAGTGCGAAAATAGTGAAGAGATCTCTAATTACGACCGAGAGTATTATGCTCGGATAGCAAGAGGGTACCAAAGAAATGCTATGAAGCAATCTAAAACGATAAAAGAGCTAAGAAGAAAAATTTTTCAATTGACAAAGAAGTGTCAAGCTCTTGCAAAAAGTGTCATTGTACATAGCGATCTAAACGAAATTCAATGACATACGCAAAAATGATTTTGAAGAAAAGAAGCCTCTATAATGAAAAGAAGAAAATAATGACACTCAACATAAATTACATGTCGACTAAGGCCTATAATTTTATGCGTGGTATTTATCATTCGCACTGCCGCACAAAAATAACACTTTTACGTTGGCGTTCGATCCGGTATGTCTCCCCCGTTATGGACGAGAAAGTCTTGAACAATTTTCCAAAAAAAATATTAAGAAATGAATACCGAAAAACGCATATGCCAATTGATTTTTGACGAAATTTCAATTAAAAAAGATCTTAACAATAATTAAGTTCGAGATATAATATAATTGATGGTTTCTTTGATAATGGAGAAGAGCTCTGGCTTGATTTTTCTATTGATACAAATGTACATACATACTTGTATGATAATAAAATAATGCGAATATGCATATGTGAAGGTCAATTGTATTTGAGTGGTCAAATAAAAGGAATGACCCAAGAAGTGTATATATGAATACAATTATGCGCATTTTGTACTTCTTAATTTTATAATAATTGCAATTAGAAAATTAATAAAAAAGAAAAATATCATTTGTTTGCATAATACTTCGCAATTTTGCAAAAAAAAAAACAATAAAATTTGGTTTTATCATAAAAATCGTTTATATTACCAAAAATAATCACGAAGTGTCATTTGTATTTTATGTTCAAAGTATTTCATATTTCTCTTTATGTTGGTAGATACGTATTTCTGCAGACAGTTATAAATTCTCATTTCTGTTAAATAGTAGCGAATATCACAGAAATCGGTGAATTCCCTACTCGGTATTTTTCAGCTCTGTTAGCCGTCCAATCGGGCATCATACAAAATTCAATTTGCACTTTCTCGTTCTTTTACGTTCGCTGGTTTTATTTTGATAAACAGCTGTGTTTATTATCACCTCTTGTTTTGATTACTATTGTAAACATTTGAGTTTTTCATGTTGTTGTTGCAGTGCCCCTACTCGGTACCATATCTGGCGGGAACACCCTAAACAATAATCAAAACTTCATCAATCAACTCGCTGCTGCAATAAGTACAGCAGTTGGTGCAGTTAATGCGGTGACAACTAGTCCTACCAACAGCAATAATATTGTTGTAGCTACAAACATGCGTGATCGAACACCAGAACCGCCACCAGCTCCAAGATTTACTTTAAACTCACCAACCACAGTGAAACCGAATCGTGGTACCGCACCAATGGATATTGAAACTGAATCGGAGGCAGCACCTTTGTCTACAAACACAAGTCTAAATGGAACTACCACTGTGCACACAGCAGCCGACCAAAATTTGCCAGTTGATAAACTGGCGATGAGCGGGCATGGCGCAAATATGTTTATGAATGGTTTTATGCCAACAGCGAGCACAGCAGGTGGTATTACTGCAAATCCCTACATGTTCTTTCCTTCAACTGCGGCAACAAATGCTGCCTCAACATCCACACAAGCGGCTAATCAAATGTTTATGGATCCGACAGCAATGTTGGCAGCTATGCAGCAAATGCAACAGAACTATGCTGCTAGCTTCGCCAGCACTTTGCCCAATAATGAAAACTGTCTTAACGGACAACCCGGCTCAGCAAATCCCGCAAGTATGACAAGCTACTGTTAAATAATTGATGTAAAAATAAAATAAATGCATTTTTTTTATAGTCAATGGCATGAAAGAGGTGATAAAAACCAAAAACTCAATACTTTTTCCACCCAATCCAAATGCGCCACCGCCTACCACTCGTGAACGCCCGCCTGGTTGTCGCACAGTATTTGTCGGCGGTCTGCCTGAAAACTGTACAGAGGATTTGGTACGTGAAATATTCGAATCGTGTGGTGAAATCACCACACTGCGTTCATCGAAGAAGAATTTCTGCCATATACGTTATCGCCACGAAGCATCCGTTGATCGTGCCATCTATCTCTCTGGCTATCGCATACGCATCTCTAACTCTAGCGAACCGTCAAACTTTGGACGCCTACATGTTGACTACGCGCAAGCGCGCGATGACCTCTACGATTTTGAATGCAAGCAGCGTCAATTACAACGTGAGCAACGGCATAAGGAGCGTTTGTCAATCGATCGTATACGATCTCAATCGCCGCCACCCATACCGCATTATAGTGATCATGAAGCATCAATGGTAGCCGAGCATTTGCGTAGTGGCGACACTTTCGTAAAGGCCGTGCAAACAATTGCAATTTGGTTAGATCGCGGCGACTGCACAAAACGCAATGCAAACATGTTTTACTCCATGATACAAAGCACACATGCACATGTGCGTCGTCTACATACTGATAAGCAGCAGTTGGAGGATGATTTACGCAAAGCGCGTGAAAGCTACCGCAAACAAATGCTGATTATGTCCGCACAGTGTAAGTATTTGATTTGTCTATTTGCTTTACATTCTTTAAAGTAGTTGAAAGAAAAATAAGCTTAGCTGCTTTTGCTCGGTTTATATTTAGGGTAGTAGGCGCAGTTTTGCAATGAATTTTTTTTTTTTTTTTGAATTTTATAACTTTTTATTGTAAATCGAATATTTGCCAAACTGCGTTCTTACAGCGACATCGCTCATAGTACTAACATTGATATGACATTTGACAAAAACATCAGAATGCTTCATTTATTTATTTTTCAATGAGCGGTCCTACGCAAAACCCATTGGTTTGTTCATTTGAATTAAGCTATTATTTAATAATTCTACAATTTATGATTGAAATAAATCGGCTAATTTAAACTTTTTAAAGGCAAATTCATTCCGATTTTGATAAAAGTAGATATGTAAAATGAAAGTTTTAGAATTGAAAATTAATTATTAATAATTTTAAATACTATAAAAAATCACATTAAATGACTTTGCCTTTTGTTTAGTAACTGTAAGAACTTAATACATGCATATAAACGCTATGCCTTCTGCCGACTTCAGTTTCAAAGGTAACCTCAATTTCGGAATAGATGCAAAATTAAAAACAAATGGAAACAAAGGGTGCAAAGGTTTGTAAAAGAATTAGCGACAGGTAAATTATAAATTAAAGCTAAGCATATTAGTTCGCAAAGAACCAAGGAAACTCGTTTCACAGACTTACATATGTAGTTTGTCCGGAATTTAGTGGTAACTAATGAAAAGCAACTGCTGTTAAGAATCAAACATTTTCTTTGTGCGTCTATATAGCCTTTCTGCCATTACACTAAAATTTTTCGTTGTTTTTAATTTTTTTTAATACAAATTTGCCGTTATGAAATTGTAAAACATGAATTTCATTTTAAATTTGAATTTGAATTTGAATGAAAGAAGTACTCATACTATGAATAACAGAAGTATATAGCCAGCGTGCAAGCAAAGAAACCAATCAATCAAACAACCAACCAACCCTCTCCCCTCTATATTATTGTTATTATTATAATTGCATATTCAGTCACTCAGATTGAAAAAGTGTTCAGTGCTGCAAGTCACAAGAAGGTTTGGGACCATTTCACCAAAGCCCAAAGAAAAAACATCGATCAGTGGAAAAAGCTGGCATTGGTACGTACAAAACAAAAAAAAAATACTAAATTGTATTACTTGCATTACATTATACTACGCTTGAGTGTCTCTGTGCATTTATTTAATATACTCATATACGTACATACATTCATACTAACATAGCTACATTAAAGTATTTGCTAATATGCTATGGTGGCTTATATAAATTCAACTTTTTTTTGTATTTTGCTTAATTTTTATTTCAAAGTACTAATTAACAAAAGTTTTGAATATATATTACATATGAGCTGACACATTTCTAATGCTTTCGTAATCATATATGTATGTATGTACATATACACTTTGTCGGTAATATCTTCTAGTAATTGCACACCATATGCGATATATTGTGGATAAATTTAATATTAGTGTTGTATTTCGTTCGTAGTATCTAGATGAGTATATTCTTTTGAAATAATTTCTATGTAAATAGATCCTATATCCTTGCAGTTCTTGATTCACCAGATTCGTGACCGTTTGTGTTCCAGAAACTCCCGTTCTCCAAAAATCTTAAAGCTTTGTTACCCTTTGGACCTTGAGTGATTTCTGAACAATGTTCCCATCATCCTCTTACATTGCAACTCTTCAGCTCAGTATGTACTATTATTAAATACTGGCAATATAACGATGTGGCCCTAAATAAACACACATGGACTGACACCGAGTACATTATTCACAGAGTTATCCAACACCCTCACCAACTGTCTTCTTATGAATGATATTCAGAAAATTACACCACTATCAAAAGCAGGCAAAGAATGAAGAGAGGCTCTTGATACCCTAGAAACCCCCACTCTAATTGGGGATTATAACAGGTTTATAACTTACTCATCCAGATTTCCCGCCGACATGCAAAGATACATTTTTTATACCAAAAATCGTTACAACATATATAATGTTCTTCCAAACCTATTAAAATCACTCTTTTCTGTGACTTACCGCTTGAAGCGTCGATGCACACCTTAACTCGTCCGCAAAAAAGGTTGGAATAAGAATTATGCCGACAGCAACAAAAGGAGGCCACGCCTGCCAACCACTGATAAACAATTTGAACACCATAAGCTTCTATTTTTAAAACATACCAAAAATAAATTTAATAGATTACTGTTATTAACGTGTTTTCTATCCGCATAAAAATTCATATATTTTCCTGTTACTTATACCCAACTGAAACGTTAGCATAAATCTGTATGAATTCTCTATTAGACCCCATATATGCTGGCAGTAGAAAAGAATATTATCTTAGCGAAATACAAGTATTATGACAATATTTCGCTGTCATTTGGTATAAAATATGTATGAAGTCGGTCTATATTTTACATAATCCGATATATCATATATTATATAAAGATATTCATCTTTCTGATTCGCTTTATAATGTATGTATGGACTAGTACATTAAATGTTTTTTAAAATGAATGAACTCGGTAGGTACAAAAACCCCTTATAACGAGATCGTCCCATTGACTGACTTGCTGATGTACAATATTATCGCCCTTCCTTTCTTATTTTTCCTGAGCTCGTCTTTCCCGTCTTTTATTTGTGTTTCGTTGAAGTATTACTAAATAATAATTTGTTCTTCTAAATATTTAAATGTTCATTTGGTAGAATGCACTAAAGCACCGTTTACACTCACATACAGTCATACACATATATATGTAGCATTGCATGACTTGTAATCATATATTGTATTCAGTATCAGTATATTTGCATACGTACTTATATACAAATGTAAAACTATTTACTCCATTTTAAGTGTATTTCTATACACATGTATAAATACATTTTAATTTCGGTTTAATCGCTTCAAATTGGTTGTCATATATAATAAATACAAAAACAAACATGGTGATTTTTTTATTTTTTCGCCTCAACATTAATATATTTATTTACTACAACTTAAAAAAAAAAACTATTAAAGGAAGAAACCAAACCAATTAAAACATGAGATCGTATTAAAAATAATTTTTAAACGAATATCATTTTTGAAAGTTCCAAACTTGAGGTAAGTACCAACAAACGAACCGTGGCTGAAGATGCGCCAAAATTATATAAGTAAAGAGCGAAAAAATATTTAATCTCAGTTTAGGATTTTTTCAAATTTCTTTTCATTTCAAAACTTGACAAAGTCAAATTTTCTTCAATATTAGTTAAACTTTTAAAATAAAGCAGTAATATTAATTTCATAAATTATTGTGCTAATTATTGCTATGATGTGCATAATACAGGAATTACGCTCGGTGCAAATTGAGGACGATGAAATGGAAATGTCTGACGATGATCGGAACTATCAGGGCAGCAGCGCCAAGAGAACACGCTACGATGCGGAGAGTTTGAAGGTGCGTAGTTTGTTTTTGTTCGTACTCTAAGCGGTTTTTGGGTCGCGTTATAAAGATCTCAAGCACACCTTATATCCTTTTTTTGAAATTAACCCTTGAGCTATATTTGTTATCAGCAAATTGCTACGAAGAGAGTGCAAACCTCAACTGTCTTAATGGACATGATTTCCGAATTTACCAAAGCTTTCTTCAATGATTACTCTAGTTTCGATTTACGGATTATGAATTACAATATACTCCATAAAGGACTTAAGCCGTTTTTTGTATAAAGTTCAGGTTTCTGTTTAGTTGCACTGAAGCTATATAAGCCGACATAAGATTCCTTACAAGAACTTGATTCGATCGATCAGTATGGCTGATATATGCTATAGTGATCGGACATTACACAATACCTTAGACAATAGCCCGTGCTAAATTCCGTGAAGATATCCGTCAAATGAAAAAGTTTTTGATACAAGCATTTGATTCCGATCGTTATGTTTGTAAGCCAACGAACGACAAATGAGCAGCTGCTTGGGGAGAAAAGGACGTGAAAATTTTCAGAACGATATCTCAAAAACTGAGGCTAGTTCGCGTATATAAACCTCTGACTAACGATTGATTATTTCACATATGGAAAGAAGTATGTAGCCAAATTTGGAAAGTACGGTAAATGGAGCAGCAGTTCGTAACTTAATACTACCAATTTAACCATGACGAGAGCGCAGGATGAGCCGGTGCGTTATATTGGTGAAAGATCGCTTTATCTTGGCCAAATAGGACCGTTTTTTCTGTTAATAGGCGTCGAAGAGATGCAGTTATTTGGTACAATGAAACTCTCTCACCGTTTTGACCTTTTCAAATTACTCGATGTATATCTCATCTTTTGAACCTTAGCAAACGGTGGTTATATCACTTTCGACAGATAGGACAGTATTGGCCTTATTTGTAGCAAGTTTGTCAGGTGGAATCCATTGTACCACTGTCCCTTGATCTTTAGTGTGTACCAGTGGATACATATTTCGTCGCCGGGCACACAGAACGGCACAGAAATTCCGGCGGATTGCGCTTTAACAGCTAAAATCAATGTTGATATAGTCACATGGTTGCACTTGGTGTCCGGACTGAGTAACCGCGGCACTGATCGCGTCGACAGCTTTCTCGTGCCTATTATATAATATCCTCATCCTGTTCACGTCATCTTTTGAGATGCCAACAGTCGCAGCTATCTTCCGCACATTCGATCGACGGTCTATATCTCAACCTTAAACTCACTCTGACTCCTTTTCGCTCGATATAAATATAATTAATGAAATACGATACACTTGTCATTTCAGGAAGAGAACGACTCGCTGCGTTGTCAGCTCGAAGCTTTGCGTAGCGAAATGTCACTCGTCCGCACCGACATCAAATACGACAATGATTATCGTGAGAAACAGATCAAAGTACTGCAGGAAACGATACGCAATATGCAAACACAATTAATGCAGACGAAAATGCGCGAACAAAAGGACCACAAAACAATTGAACAGCTCGAACGTAAGTTGAAAGAGGCTGGCGTTAAACAGTTATTGCTAAAGACTAGAATCAAAGAAACTACCAATAAGCGAAAAGATCGCGAAACATCGTCAATTAACTCCGAGACCAGTGAGATATTAATCGATGAAAGCGAAGATGTCGACGATGATGATGAGGACGACAATGATGTGGAAGAGGTGACTGTAGAAGATACAACGAGAAATAAGCCAAAAAATCCGTCAAGGCCGAATAGGGAGAGAGACAATACTGAAAATTCGACAAATACCGAAAAAACTAGTCAAATACAAATTATCGATATTGATGGCTACAAAAGTGATGAGGAAGTGAAAATTATCGAAGATCAGACTGAGGTTGTTGAAATACATGAAACCGATGATGAGGAAAAAGCCACAAACCAAAGCAATAAGGAAGACGAAATACCGCCAAAGGAAGTAGTGAAAGACGATCCTTCCGAAATTGAAGAATCAGCTGAAATAGCAACAGAGCTAAAGTCAAACGAAACCCTTACCCCTGAGGATAGTGTAGCAATTAAGGATGTTAGCGATGATATTTCTAGTACCGACGAAATGAAAGTACAGCTATCAGAGGAAACCAAAGAGATTGAGGTAAGTGTAGACAACTACTATGTATACCATATGTACGCTTAACAATAATATTATCATGTCGGTCGACGATACATGTAGTGATTCAGTTTTTTTACCACTAAGTTAATGTACTTAGTCCGGTCAAGACCATGAAGTTTACTTAGAAGTTAGTTGATAACGAAATAGAATGTGGTTTTTATTTTTAATAACTTCCGGTGTTTACTGCGATCCCCCCTCATTACATCCGATAATTATTGTCCAGTATAATTATGTGTTTATGTTACTTTGCCTTTGGCTAAGCTGATTTGATGTCCATCGAGAAAACGATTGGTCCGCGAATACTGTCAGAAAACTTAATTTTAGAAATTTAATTTTTTTGTTGACTGTCTAAAACAGATCTACATATTTTTCCGTATCATGTTATTGAAATTTATTGCATACTAAACATAAATGGTGCGAAGGAACGCCTACTAGAACCGTTAAAACACTTTCTTTTTCCATCGGTTGTTTTGTTCAAATGTTAACATCTAATCATAGGTTGAAATATGTTTAATTATGGCTTCATATAGTCTCCAAAAAATTATGCATATTATCAAAAACACTTCTTCTGAAGCTGTTTCCTGGCACCATCTGCTCTCAGGTTCCAAAAGGAGACCATACCTATCCATAGTAGTAGTGAAAAAACTCCTTGTTGAAAGGTGTCCGTGTTCAATGATACATACATATGTACATACATTTTGTACTTAGTATTAGACTATTTGGTTTCAAAAAAGTCCATCGATTAGCTTTACAATGTCAAAGCCCCATATTACACGTGACATATCATTTTTAATCAGAGTATCTTACGACTGGTTTTACCCGATTAAACATCGTCACAACTCTTAAATTGACAGAAGAACAATGAATTCACAGAAATAAATTAAATGCGGTTTGGGATGATTTTGTATTTTCGCAAGCGCATAAATGATATATGTGTAAGCTTCCGGGGTAAATTTAAAAATAAACTAATTCGAAATAATTTAAAGATTATGAATCAGTTGCTTCTTCATTTTGGACTTTATTAACTATTAAGAGAAGATATATTTTATATTTCTTTCTTTAACTAGCCGAAATTCTTGCCATTTTTGGAGGCCCAAATCATAGCGTTAGTGGCTGCCTATCTAATAGTGCAACCCTTTGGCGTCAGCGTTGAGTCAATATGTGTTTTCTTGCGACAGTCTATGAAGAAGCTGGACTTACAAGTGCCAACGTTAGAGCAGATACTGACAACCTACACCAATATCTTCAAGTTGGAACATAAACCGGGAGTCGTTGTTGATAGCGTACTCAAGCCACATTGGAAATTTTGCGGATTTACTGCAACAGATGGTGGAACCGGTGACGACGAACGTGATAACGCAATGGGTGAAGAGTGAAAGTGAGAATTTCCAAGTCTACTTGCTAATAACCAAACAGGAAAACCGAATTTTATTACATATATACTCGTAAGCATCAATTACTCGCAAAAGAGACATCGATTTTAATCCGTACATTTTAAAAAAATTCTTTAAAAGTAATTACTAGAATTATAGAATTATAAGTTTGAAAAAAAAAAAACAGTGATTTTAATATGAACTCGCATAAAATACTTATTTGCTATTCGAAAAGAATGAGAATAGGCTCGATGCCTAGTTTAATTTTTACTGAAATATAATTATTATATTAACTGAATAAAAATCAATGAAAATGGTCATTTAAACACTTTAATCTTATTTTTAATTATGGTCATAAATAAAGGAAAGAACAGAAACATTTACTACAGATAATTGATCCTTTCTGATTGGAAAAACCAAAGGTATTGTAAAATATGATGAACGAAAAATATTTTGTAGAATTCTGCCCAGTAGACAGTCCTTGAACGGATATAAGTCCCGGCATGTTCCTCGACTGCCCTGAGTGGAGTATCTTATCTCTTTGTTCTACCAAGTTTGTAAAATTTTTTTTTGCTTCTGATATTATCAGTATATTAGCATCAGTAGTACTTTTATAACCGCGATCTCGTAATCTTTTAACTTACGTATGTACAGCGTCGTAGCGGCTATGTTTGTTTACGAATTTGTGTCAAATTTTTTCAGTGTGTTCAGTAAGGTTTGCCATTTCATCATGCCACATTTCACTTTATCTTCTCAGATGGACCCATTTTTGGCTTCGTCAACAAGCAAAATTCTCGCTATTGCGGTGCGTCAATCCTCGTGTGGTTCAGTAAACGCAATTTACCGTTTTGTGCCGATTGTGGTTGGCGGCATGATTGGGCCTTATTTCTTTCGAAATGAAGCAGGAAATGACGTTACCATCGATAGCGAGCATTATAACACTATGTTGACCGACTGCTTTTCCCTAGAGTTTGATGAAATCAAACATTGCGTGCAAAGTGTGGCGACATGTTAATTCGAGAAATGGTCCAGTCAAATTGCCGCCAAGATCATGCGATTTAACGCCTTTAGATTATTTTCTCTTGGGCTATGTTAAATCAAAGGTTAGGCGTTAGCCGAAATTCCAGCCGAAACGCTGCACCGGGTCAACGAAAATTGGTGTAAATGGGTTGAGATATGCAAATGGAGCCGTGGTGGCCATTGGGAAGACACTTTGTTCAAATCAGAGATGGCATAAAATTATCTGCATAAGAATAATGCCGAACCTATTTTAACCAAATTTGGTTGTTTTATTTGCATATATTCTTTAGTTTTTGACTTTTGCTCCTTTAATCTTCCTAGTAGCCATTTTCGGAGCACCTGGCACCGACCAATATTGTTCTTTTTCCATAAATCCGCGAACAGCCTCGCCTCCATACGAGGTCAATACAAAACTATTAATATTATATAATTCCGCTGAAATTTTGCTAGTAACTGTCTATGTTTGAAAAGCTCAGTTTTTACTTTACAATTTCGAATCAAATCGGGGCTAAAATCACTAACATGAGGAAGCCAAACATCTACCCAACGCTAATTAGAGTATATCCGATGTATTAGGGAAAGGCCATACATAATAAACAAAACGGATATTACACTTCTTGAAATGAGCGGTTGGAAGAATAGTCTATGCCGATTAATGAGTTCATCGACTTCCCATCAAAATTTAAGAACTTTTACTTACAGTGCTTTGTTCAAAGAACTTAGAGTCTATTTAAAAACTTAATCTCAGCACAATTAAATTACCTAGTTAAGCCAATTCAAGGCACGTAGCGTTTGGTACACGAAGAACGTTACACGCAATCTGCACGTACTTAATGAAGTCATCACAGAAAATTTAAAGAAGAAAGCATGACATTCATCTTTTTAACGATTCACTATAATTCGAGCAATAAAATTGAGGACGAATGGTATGAGATATTGAAAATGCATATTCATTCACTTTCACCTTCATCAAGGACAAACAGTAAGTCAATACTGAAAGCAACAGCGCGCAGCATCAAAGCATCCTTATAGTCTTGTAAAAAAATCAAGAGCGCAGAGATTGCAATCGTTTCCATACAAGCATATGTAGTATGTGGTGCATTTGCAGCTTTTCTGTTTACGTGTCTACATATGCATTTATTTTGACTGCTGGTCGACCCTTGGCAATTAACCCCGCAGAGTAGGTGTGTTGTGTTCGGCAAATGATGACGTCTACACTTCGTTTATTGTGTGGGTGGGCAAGGAGATTTAGCTTTAAAGGCGCCGGAAATCTTGCACACACACACACTCTCTCTTTCTCTCTCTTGTTCTCTTTCCTTCAAAGAGATAACTGCACGTAGTGATTTTGTTCACAGTGTCTGCGAATGCGGCACGATATGCTTAAACAATGTAGAACATTTTAAAATTTGCATTCACTATTTTATCGTCTCAGTCGCTATATACCAAAAACATTAATTTTTTTTTTAGATGAGGTATGTACTGCACTCTCCTAAAAAGAACAGATTTCTATATATCGCTTTTCAAAGCTAAGTTCAATAAGAGCTGATGTAAGCAAATGGCTCTCAGGCGCCACTGAAAGCAAATACCTGATTTTGACCTTCTTGAGACACATTTTTACCTTCTCATGCAACTTCGAAACAGCCGGGAATCCAGCACCCAATCCCAACAACTCAAATTTTAAACTGCACACTCATTTCGAAGGTTCCAATATAGTAGCGAATGAGTAGAAACCTAAAAAGTTCTGTTTTATACATAATATGTTGCCTAGAATCATACTGAAAGCCAAAGAATAATCAAGTACTCCGCATCTGATGCAAGTATTTACGCTGAAAGCTTCTACGATCTTCGTAGGAAATTCAAAATGAAGCCCACATTTGAAAGAAATATTCTGAGACTATCGTAAGTAATTGAAAGGAGAAAATCTTCCTAAGAAGTGTTGTCCAGTTTTCAAGACTTCTAAAAGAAGAGTGTGTATCCAACCTCTTCCGGAATTAAAGTCTATTTAGATAAACTTATGACAATATGAAAGACAGGTCCGGTAGTAGGACTAACTTTTAGCATGAGGTACTGTTTATTGATTGTTATATCATGCTCGAGGTACTCGTTGAAAATAATTTTATGTGATTCCCAAAAAATGCTGGTTAAAACTATTCCTGTCACTTTGGACGACAACCATTCAGCGGACCACCGACTTCAGCATACAATAACTTAAGGACAAAGATATAAAATGTCAAGAAACAGTATTCTGATTACAGAAAACAATCTAAGATAGATTTTGTTTATTGCGCGATCTGGATAAAGGTGAGTAAAGTCAGCCCATGAATATATATGTATATAATATGTATGTATACATCAAGAGTTGATTGAAATTCAAAGGAAAGGTAAATTGGTTATATCTAAGGTTTTTAATAACATCTCAAGCAGTACCAAAAAAACTTTAGTCTACATACATATGTATGTACTAGATACACATAGAGGAACAGCTGAATGCCAATGCCGGTTTTCTCATTGCCGATGCCTTTCTAGCCACGACACAGCCACAGCACATAACGCTAAGCACATATGTACGCATGTGACAAGCCATCCCAATTTGACTCACAGAAAAATCAAGAACAAAAAAAACTAAAAAACAGTCGAATACAGATGAAAAAGAAAATTATATGTTGTTGGCGCCCCCAACATCCAAAACGGCTCCAGCAACAACAAAACCATTTAAAGCGAGAAGAAACGCATATCCATACTCATACCAATGCAGCTACCTACAGATAAACATATATACATACATATTATATGTATATGCGTTGAGTAAGCTAACGTCGATTTACCGAGCTCCAAAGCGCCGAGCAATTTCGTGACGCTTGCAGCGGTCGGACTTGGCGCATATTATGTGTACGTGTACGCTTGGCTGCTTGACGAACTAGCTGCCGGTTTGGCTCGCTGGTTCGCTGCTTTGTGCTGACTTGCTGCCTCGGTGCGACCTCCTCGAGCCCAGTCACACAATAACGGCCAGCACAGTCGTCTTTGCGAGCTCGAATACGCTACACGCGGCCTGCGCGATACACCCAACCGATTACTTACATACTGTGGCGATAATATCCACACAAGTGCTGCTTCCCAGAATCCTACCAACGCTTTATATAAGACATCATTATACAACTTGTTTAAGTTATTTTATTTTCATGTCCCGTACGAACAATTTTTTGTTCTGTTCGACGTTTTGAAAGCAAGAGTGCAATAATATAAAGCGAAGAAGTACACTTTTGTTCTCTATAGTTTCGAGGTTCGGCGTTTACAAAAGACATACGTGAAAAGTACCCGCCAATTTATTTGTGATTTCGATTGTATGTCTAACCAGTGTTTTGTTTGATTAACTTTTTTAATTTACGAAATTTCGCGCTCGTCACCTTCGTTGTTATAATATTTGGTATAGTCCTTTGGCAAAGTAAATAAGAACGCGTTAAGAGGTAGAAACTTTGAAGAAGAAGCAGAAGAAGCGAAAAACAGCATATAAGCAACAAACTTTAATACAACAACAAATTTGTGTAAATAATTTACAAAACTAATAAAAAAGCAAAGCAGAAGAGAAGGTCAGACAACAAAAACCACAAGTCATTACACTTTGGCAAAGTACTAAGAAAAGTGAAGGGTAAGTACCAACAAAACTAACTGTGCATAAGCAGCTCCAAACCAGCCGTCACTGTACACGTTTTTGTCCTTCTGTGCGCCTGGCCTCCTCTCCAAGGGCAGCTGTTGTAACAACGCCTCACGTTTACGCAACCAAATTTGTTCATCCAACTCTGCCAAGCACACACGCTTATTTACAATTGTTTTATGTAATCAGCGTATTTAGAAGGTAATGGATATCTTAGGCATTACACAGAGTTTCGGTTAAAAGCAGCTAAACGATTTAGATTATATTCACCTACGTAAGTCAGGTGTTTTAAATTTCAAGTTCAAATTACAAATTAATGCCAATGGAGAGTAGGACCGCGCTAATTTTGATTTATTTCGGATTAAAGTGACCAAATAATAATTGGTGTATTCGATTCGACAACTATGTGCTCATTATGTTTGGTATATGAGCTCTTCTCAAAGATAAAAATTTAAAAACAACAAGAAAATAAACCAGTTGAATTCAATAAGAAAGCATATGTATAGCTCTTTAAAGTGGTATAAAATCCCTCTAACTTTTTTCGCTTTAACTTGACTTGACTTATGTCAATTTACCGAGTCAGCTTGCTTGTTCAATTCATCACTTACAAAGTTTAGGGGAATCGAAATCGATTAACAATCTAGCGAAGACAGC